CGGATCCTTCTCCTACGTAGCCATGATGTTGTGATTGCTGCAGAATGTGGTCTGGCATTATCGTGTTGAAAAATGCAGGGTCTTCCCTGAAAGAGATGACGTCTAGATGGGAGCATATGTTGTTCTAGAACCTGAACATAGTTCTCTGCATTAATGGTGCCTTTCCAGACATGCAAGCTGCCCATGCCACAAGCGCTCATGCAACCCCATACCATCAGTGATGCAGGCTTCTGAACGGAGCGTTGATAACAACTTGGGCTATCCTTGTCCTCTCTGGTCCGGATGACATGGCGTCCCAGTGTTCCATAAAGAACTTCAAATCGTGACTCATCTGACCACAGAACAGTCTTCCATTTTGCCACACTCCATTTTAAATGACCCCTGGCCCAGTGCAAACAACTGAGCTTGTGGAGCTTGCTTAGAAATGGCTTCCTCTTTGCACTGTAGAGTTTCAGCTGGCAACGGCGGATGGCACGGTGGATTGTGTTCACCGACAATGCTTTCTGGTAGTATTCCTGAGCCCATTCTGTTATTTCCTTGACAGTGGCATTCCTGTTTGAGGTGCAGTGACGTTTAAGGGCCCGGAGATCACAAGCATCCAGTAGAGTTTTACGGCCTTGACCCTTACGCACAGCGATTGTTCCAGATTCTCTGAATCTTTTGATGATGTTATGCACGATTGATGATGATAACGTAAAAGTCTTTGCTATTTTACGCTGGGTAACACCATTCTGGTATTGCTGCACTATCCTTCTGCGCAACAATGGTGGAATTGGTGATCCTCTTACCATCTTGGCTTCTGAGAGACACTGACACTCTGAGAAGCTCTTTTTATACCCAATCATGTTGTCAATTGACTTAATTAGTGTTAATTGGTCTCCCAGCTGTTCGTTATATGCTCACTTTCCTTTTTCCAGCCACTTATTGCTACTTGTCCCAACTTTTTTGGGATTTGTTGACACTGTGAAATTTTGAATCAACATATTTTTCCTTTAAAATGTTACATTTACTCAGATTAAACTTTTGATCTGTCATCTATGTTATATTACGAATAAAATATTGACATTTGCCATCTCCACATCATTGCATTCAGTTTTTATTCACAATTTGTTTAGTGTCCCAACTTTTTTGGAATCCGGTTTGTAGTTTCACGAGCAATGTATACAAGACTAAATTCTCATATTCAACCTTTATTTATACAGGTTAGTTCCCATTGAGTCTCGAGGACTCATTTACAAGAGTCTTGATCTTGAATGTTGATTTTCAAAACTTAGTTGTTCCAACTATGACACAGCTTGCTGGTTACAAACACTCAGAATTTAGTGGAACCGCAATGGAAAATTCCCCTATTGTCTGACAATTTTAAATCACAATCAGTAAGCCAAGTGAGATACTACAGAACTTTAGAACCAAAGTAAACTATCGGTACATGCGTTTCAATTCTGGGACATCAAATATGGAAAATTCAGTGCCACCGATGAGTTGAAAACTAAGAAATCGGTATTTTAAAAAAAGATTCCATGTTAATGTCAATTTAAGATAACCAAGTGGTTTATTTATTACATGGGAAACTTTGTAGAGTCTAAAATCTGCTAAATTATTTACTGAGTCTGCTTTTATTTTCTATCTTATGGATTTGTGTGATTTTTGAATTTGACATTAGATCAGAGTAATAATCCACGACTCCAGCAGATTCCTTTTTGGGTTGTTTTTTTTTGTCAATGTTATCATTTTTATTTGAATATATAATCAAAATAAATTAATATACTCAAAACATAATATTGTGCATATAACTACTGTTCCCCGAAGGCCAGGAAAAAGGCACAACACATGAAAATGGGATATCACGCCCCTGCATGTCCTGGCTGAAGACACTTCTAATACTTTAGGCAAATGACATGATGACCAGTGACAGACCTGCCTGCACTACAAAGTAAGCTACCTTTTCTGCTCCTCAGATGCAAAAGGGGTATCCAAAAACCCGAGGGCTGAATAGTCGTGGACCTGTTGTCTGAAGGTATAACCTTTGGGAGATATGCTACATTTGGCCGCAGAGTGACCTAGGAGCCATTAGGTGAAAACTGGACAAAGGAGGTATTCACATATT